AGGTCAGATTCGAACCCGGGCCGCTGCAGCAACTCCATATATGGGTCGCCAGCTCTACCGACTGAGCTAACCGGGCCCCCGTGTGTGTCTTTTTTATCATGTTAAAAAACGTTTGATAGTCCTAAGGAAAGGCCTGAGTAGCTATAATCCTGACTTTAGTTACATGCGTCCTTACCTTGTGAGTACAGCAGGATCTGCATCTCCAGCAGGGTGCAGGTGAACACCTGGACCAGGTTCTCCACTCCCAGCAGCGTAAAGGCTTCTGCGAGGGGGAAGTCAGCCAGTGGCAGCTCCCCCAGCCCGGGTCTCTGGCAGATGATGGGCTCGTAAACGCCGTGGAACTTGAGAGAGCGTCCCAGAGCCGGCAGTGGCACCTCGTACAGGATGTTGTGAACGTAGCTCTCTAGCGGCAGCGGGGGGGCGGTGGTCGCGGTAACAGCCTTGTGCAGCTGCGACAAGAAGCGGCGGCAGGCGTGCATGAAGGGCATGGGTGCAATCAGACACAAGGCCTTGGACACGTAGAGGGTGTCCCGCGATGAGTCATAGCCACCCGTCCTGCGGGATGAAGACATGGAGGATGAGGAGGTGGGGGAGTCGGCCTCATCTAAACTGCTGGCCAGAGAGTCCATGCTGGAGGAGGAGGACGAGGAGGAGGAGGAGGAGGAGGAAGGGGGGTTGGCGGAGGCGTGCTCTGCATTGTGCATCTGGTAGAGGGTCTGCATGGCAGAGCAGATCTGTGGGCTGGTCACCTCCTCGTAGAAGGTGTGGACGAAGCCATAGGTCCGCGAGCCATCCTCCTTCGTGATGATGAAGGAGTGGAACTGTGGGTCACGCTGGTCCACCTGTGTCCTGAACGACAAGCCTTTAGGCATACACAGCTGCAGAAAGAGGGGGGAGGACAGGAGTCAATCACCACTTCAAAGCAGACTAACAATTCTAGTTGGAAATAGAGCTGCAAGGATTAGTCAATTAATCAATAGTTATCGACTTTTAAATTCAACTATTTTTCATAATCCATTAATAGTTTAGACATTTTTTAAGAAAACATTCTGTGATTCCAGCTTGGTACTGTACAACTAAAAATCAGTGACGATAGACTTACCAATAGAGTTCTTAAATTTTTTAAACCAATATTTACAAGATGAAATGATGCCGATACTGATGATGTGAGCTTGTGCGTGATGACGCTTTCACAGCCAAACTCTCAGCCAATTGCACATAAACTGTTGATATAAACACCCAGTCAGCAGCAGCCTGCAATAAATCTGACTTATTAGTATTATTATGTTTATTTGGCCGCTGAGAGCTGAACAGGAACTGTCGGCAGACTAGAGCTGCTCTGTGCCAATACGTAAACATGCATTTAAGTGTGTTAGTGCTTACTGCTCTGCAGACACACAAACGTGTATGAACTTTAGAGTTAGCAGACATGAACACACTCATACATTTACATTTATTTTAACAAAAACTGTACCCAGTTTTCCAATTTATTTATTTGTGTCTTTATAGAGAACAAATGAAACACACATGTGACCTGATTGGATAATGCATGAGTCATGTGTCTCACTGATCAGTACTGACAGATCATCTCTCCTGCACACCCAGCCTGTCTGACATTAGTCATCACAGTGAACACATTCTGTATTTGCTTTTGTTGTCTAGAAAACACTTACACTTCATGTGTGTGTATATGTTTTACCTCTCAGCCCTGCTACGCAGAGGGAGGTAATAAAATCAAATTGAGCACAGAGATATAAGCTCAAAATCTAGCAAGACGATGCAAAGAAATTGCCAAGTGTTCTGTCAACTAAGTATCGACTTACTGCCTGCAGAACGAGCCAGGGCGCATTCACAATCCCTGCAACGTAAAGCAGCAACGTGACAGTCCAGACGTGATGTAGGAACAAATACACACTTTTGACCTCCATTAAATGACGCCGTTCTTCCTGTTTATGTTGTTCATGTTAAAAGGAATGAGGACAACAGGAGCAGAGGAAGTGCATATGGTTTACTGTTAATCTGCTGAGGCCTTCATTAAACAGTGAGAAGCTGTTGTCAGCTTTATCTGTTGCTGGAGCTTAACTGGAGTTCTAGTGTGGCCAGGAGGAAAGGGAGAAAAGATCATACAGTGGAATGATCCTGTTTGTGGTGACTGTGTTGTAAACCCCAGATTTCAACAAGGGGAGGTGGGAAGAGTGTGTGTTTGTGGTGATTGTAGGTAAAGTTTTTAAAATCTTAAAATACACAAAATAAAGTCAGACAAACGAATGGTCTACCACAGATATTTCAGCAGAAATATTCTGTGAGTCAGGGACCAGTGCCTTTAATCAGTCTTCATTAATAATTCTTCAGGTGGAGACATGGCCCAATTAGAGTGGCACAGGGCTGAATTAGCATTATGCACACACACACACACACACACACACACACACACACACAGCAATGATTCAATTATGCAAAATCAAAAATATGCAAGGGCCATATTGTTCCAGTAAATCATTTATAGCCAACATTCTGTTGCCTAAACTGAGTGTAAATAAAAGCAGATTTTCTTTGCTCACATGTGACTAAGAATTGGATTGTTTTTCTGAGATATATATATATATATAT